CAGTGAAAGTAATTTTCTGTTTTTTTTTTTTTGAAGTACTTTATAAACCTCTGGTAAAAATGTGTTCTCAGCACTGAGGTTTAAAAAAAGGATCAACATAATGCAAAGACAACCTTTGTGCTCTCACACACACGAGTCTTCGAGGTTTTGAAGATTTCTTTTGCTATTTCTCAGACTAYGCCGCGCCCGCGCTCCCTGCAGCTGGAAAGAAAGTCGGCTCAACGTTTCGGCCTCCTTCAAACGAGGGTTACACCACGCCCTTCACCGGCGTCCACTACGACGCGCCCGGCGGCCTGCCGGAGTACGCCGAGCCGCTTCCTCCGGAGCCCGAGTACGCCACTCCTTTCAGCGAGCTGCCCTCCGAGGCCAAGCTAGCCACGTTGACGGGCATCATTCACGGCGACGCACACGGACCTCGTGTTCCAGGAGCTTCCAGGGCGACGCCCAGCCAGAGTCAGTATGACTGCCCCGCCCACAGGGTGCTGTTTAACGGCTACTGCACTCCCGCTYTGCATGGCCCTCGACCCGTCAGTGAAGTCTACGCAGAGCCCAGGTCAAGTGACTCTTTACTACAGAAGCACACATATGAGGAGCCTTTGTGAGCATAGGAACATGAGGAAGAGCAGGTTCCTCTGAGCTGAAATATCAGAAAAGACCTCTTAGCTGGACAGTGCTCTCCATAGAGCCAGACATGCCAGGAAGTAATGAACCAAGAGATCAGGAGTCACTTTGGAGCCCAAGCTTTTATCTCTGAGTCGTTTGGACCTGAACATATCCTCGCAGGAAGCTCGTCCCGGTGGTGCACAAAGAAACAACAGGCCTGAGCGTAGTGCTGGGCGGTATGACCCACATTTTATACCACGGTCTTTTCAACAATTATCCCGATTATCACAGTATTTTTCTTTTCATCCCAGCACAGCTGGTGCTAAAATTGACAAAAACAGAAGGTCAGCTCAAGTTACTGCAACACAAACTATTTTTTTTCTTTTACTGTACCTCTGTATGCATTGCTGTTTCCCTCCTCTACGTCTTTCCTTCTTTGCCTGGTTGTAGACAGTAGTCATGCATTTTGGGCACATGGGGGGCAGGTACAGTCGTAAAGGAGGAAGGAAGGTAGAGCAAAGATCATTTTCGGGCAAATTTACTTTGTGCATGTATTTCAGMGATRRTGAAAACAGTTTTTTTTGCCACCCACCACTAGTTATGAAGGCTGCTCCAACAACAACACTTRTCCTTTGTGCTGCAAGGAAAAGTGTCTCCCATCAAACAGTGTACAGGTGGGTGCAACGYAACTTTCAGATCGTGTTCAGGCTATAGTTAAGTCTGTATCTATTTAGACAGAGACACTTTCCTAATGTTGGTTCTGTACATTACTTCAATGAATTTCTAACAAAACATTTCAGGTGCAGTTAAATTTCAGATTCTCAGCTTTAATTCGGTGGGTTGAACAAAGTTATTGCACATTTTTTTAACACGATCCCTTCATTTCAGTAAAAGGAAATAGACAAATTAAATGACTGTACGATAAATAARATGTTCATTTCTAATACTTGATTGAGAACTTATGGTCGTCAATGACAAAKTATTGAACTCATAGAGATCTCCAGACCTGTTTCCTATTTTTTTTAATGTTCTGCCACCCATTACTGCTGGTTTTCAGTTGCTGTTTGTTTGTGGGCCCTTCTTTCTGAAGTTTAGTCTTTAACAAGTGAAAAGCTCAATTGGGTTGAGATCAGGTGACGGACTTGGCCATTCAAGAATATTACACTTATTTGCTTTAATAAACTCCCGGGTTGCTTTGGCTTTATGTTTTGGGTCATTGTCCATCTGTAGTATGAAACAACGATCAGTCAGTTTGGCTGCATTTGTCTGTATCTGAGCACACAGTTTGGCTCTGAATACCTCCAGAATTCATTTGGCCGCTTCTGTCCTGTGTCACATCATCAATAAATACTAGTGACCCAGTGCCACTGGCAGCCATGCATCACACTGCTCTGC